ATGGGCAGGAATGGCCTAGGATGGGCTGGAATGGGGCTAGGATGGGCTGGAATGGGCAGGGATGGGCTGTGATGGGTAGGAATGGGCTGGGATGGGCAGGAACTGGCTGGAATTGGCTAGGATGGGCAGAGATGGGCTAGAATGGGCTTCGATGGGCAGAAATGGGCAGGTATGGGCTTGGATGATGAAGTATGTGGTAAGATGAGATACCTAGAACCCTACACATTAGTAACTGTTTGGTATGTACATAGTTAATATATTTACAAGTGTCATTGTGGTTATAGTCATTAGCATAGTGCTCATTAGCATATTTGTGACTCGCTACATGCCGCCTTTACCGTTTTTTTCTCGGCGTATGTTTGGGAGATTTTTATCGAGCAAAAGCACTGAGAGGACTCAGCTAAAAAGGCTGCAACTCTAGGAACGTCCATCTAATAAGCCTCCTATCTGACAACGTGTACAGTTCTGGCGCCAAAGCTGAAGTCATTTAACGGCTCAGGAACTTCTTTGTCGCCGCCCCCCTCCCCCACACACCGTCGCATGCTGCGGGAAAGGAGAACAAAGACTTTGTTGTGAAAAGATGGCTTCGATTTGGCAAGAGATGCTTTTGACTCTTTTGTCTCTTCTCGCGTCTGTCATCGTTGTGCTTCTCATCGTAGTTGTAGGTAAGACTTATTTTTGTTCACAATCATATACGGATAACGAAAGCTTATTACTGTTAAATAATTTTAAAAGACTAAGACATAAAACGTTAACGTGAAATATATAAAATTACTTGTACAATAATTTGTTTCATGTAACGTTACGTGTACTGTTTGTACGTACAGATCATGTATGGTTTTTATATGCATCACCATGTGCAATGCAAATGCAAAATTGTTTATTAGAACTGATGTAAATTATACACCCAGTGCTTCTACTCCATGATTAATGTAATTTTAATGTACTGACAGCCATAGGTGTTGTTCCCTGTATTCAAACGTCCTGTGTAAAAATCTAAGTACAATGTCTCCTTCTTGTTTGTTCCAGGATGGTTCCTGGTCTGGAAGCTGTTTCTGTCCAGGTTCAAGTTTGTACAAGAACTTCTCAACGGCAGTGCCAAGGAGAAGGCAGAGACAAAGGACGAGCAGCCGAGGCAGTCTGGATACCGACTCCGCTCCAGAACCAGAGCCATGAGGGAACAACAGCCTTCTTCATAAGGACATGATGATGTATTCTTTGTACATACATAACATATACATGCATCAGTGTTCTCAACAGAATGTTTTTACAGTGTAGGGGTCAGGTACAGAAGGACAACTTTCTGTGGTGCAAGCTGTGCAACGAGTCCAAAAAACATGACCATAGCAGGAGGTCTTGATAATTGTTCTATATAAGATTACGTCAGATAGAATTATGTCAAGCAAGCTACTTTGGGCACTCTATTTGGACAGACTGTAAATCATGTACATGTATGCAAGAGTATGCAAGAGCACATTATTTGGCACCCTCTCTTTGGTAAACACATAAGAAAACATACTGCAAATACTTTGTATGTTGTTTATTTGTACTCATCAGTGCTACATAAATGCCCAGTATGGAGATGTTTCTTAAACGCCTTTTGTATGTCCAGTTCTCAGTAAATTTTGGACAATGTTGTTGGAACATTCAAAACTTCTTCACTAGAAAGATGTTGCTTGTGTACTTGTAAAGCCAGTATTTTATTTCGCTAAAAGTGCAAATTTTTTTGCTATAATATCTTTTAGCCTTAACCTCATTTATATGTCAATTTGTTAACAAATACCTGTGCAACTATAGGTCCAGTTATACGTGTAGTCACTGACCAAAATTAGTGGATGCTACTTGAAACTTCTGACATTTTTTTAAAAATCTATCCAGTTGCTTGAGTAACTGTTTCCTTGTGCATATCTTATACTGTTGTGTAGTATCTACTATTAAAAGCTCAAAGGAATTTTGTACATTTACACTGTTACCTGCCTGACTATTCAATCAGTGGTATGGTCAGCTGAATGAATACAGGGACTCATTTATTCATGTTCCAAAAAGGGAACTTCAAAGATGTACAGAGAAAGGATTTTGTAAATGTATTCTTGAAGTAAATGTGTTTTGGCAGCTGTTGAAAACTCATCAAAATGCAGTACATATTAACAATCTACACTTGCGTATAATTCCCATCGTAGTAGATCTCTGTCGATTTTTTTCAATGTTTTACCACAGTTCACAGTGAAACAATGTAATATTATGTGACTTATTTATAGGAAGTGTTGCACATAAATGTATGTACTTTTAGTTTACAAATTCATTTATTGATGTTGGTGGTGGTTTTTGATACTGTTTAATGCAAAATATGTACATCCTAGAGAATTATTTTGTGTGACAATAAACAAGGGGCTGGCCCTTCTTTGTGCATACATGTATGTTTTTTTTTAATGCAGGTCTGTTGGGTTGGTTGGCTAGTTGGCTGGGTGACTGTTTGGCTGGCTCGTTGGCCGGTTGGTTGGTTAGTTGGTTGGCTAGGTGGCTGGTTGGATGGCTGACTGGCTGGCTGGGTTTGTTGGGTGGGTTTGTGGTTGGTTGGCTGGTTTGGTTGGTTGGTTGGCTGGCTGGTTGGTTGGTTGGCTGGCTGGGTTAGGTGGGTGGG